TGCTTAAGAACCTAATGAAGTCACTGAAAGCTTTGCTACAGCAGGATTGTAAACACGGAAAGAAGATGGACATCTGTGTTAACACCTAACATCTGTGTTAAAGGTGCTTCATTCCCCAGCTTGTTTCAGTTATTGAGCCAAGAATGAATGGCATTAGCTTAGTACCCAAGCACTGGGGGGAAAGATGGAAAGACTCATAAAAGGAGTCACAATCACAGGTGCACTTCCATCAAAATTACTTTCACACATTCAAAACTCCTGGATCAGTTCCTTAAACCAAACTAATGGGACACAATTTTAAGGTTTCCTCCCTCTGGTGGTTTTCGATGCATTGGGTCATACTTCTGTCTCCATTTGTGCTCAAGTGATTTATTTGGCCCATAAATTAGTGAGCTTCAATGTTACTACAACTGCCAAAAAAGTTAATTTGCATGAACAAACATTAACCCAAACTGCAAAAGCAGCAAAACTGGAACCGGTACTTTTGGTAATGCAGAAAGCTCAAAAAGCTAAGATGCTCCTTCGCACAGACACAAGCAATTCAGAGGTTGAGGTACGCCCTCTGCTGCTTTACATTATGTATACAGCTACGGATGTAAACTCTTGATCCTGCATTGAGTAACATTTGGCTATATGCTCCTTCTGCTTATATTAACAGGAACATTTAGAATTAACTTAACTATAGTCTTGTTTCCCACAGTTTAGCATTGTTTTGCAAAAAGCCAAAAACTATCTAGAGCAGATACCCAAGTATATTTTGAAGCAGAAGTGGAAAGCCATGTACAATTTTGCCTGATTTGCTAGGCAAACCATGTTCTGTACAGTGGTAGCTCGGGATGCGAACGAGATCCATTCCGGAGCCCCGTTCGCATCCTGAAGCGAACGTAACAAGCGACGGCGCATCTGCGCGTGTTGCGTTTTGCTTCCGCGCATGACGTCATTTTGAGCGTCTGCGCATGCACAAGTGGCGAAACCCAGAAGTAACGCGCTCCATTATATCCGGGTTGCTGCAGAGCGCAACTCGAACGCGCTCAACCCGAAGCACATTCTGCCCGAGGTATGACTGTATTGACTGTGAGCTGAGCAAGTGGACACATGTTGCGGCAGTGTGCTCCTCTTCAGTGCCAGCTTCTATAGTACTTCATTCCATTCCCAGATTTTTCAGTCCACCTGCCTGTGTTCTCTGGGCTACCGAGAAATTGTCCTTATTGGCCTATTCTGCAGTCCCTAGTCCCCCCAGGATTGTCTTACTGCACACCTTGGGGTTAACCAAAGCCTTTTGATACCTCTCTTGTGCATGGGCGTCACCATTTTGGCTACATAAGACATGGGACTTGTACTGGAATTGGCTGCAGTTCCCTCCCCACTTCCCGGTCAGTCAGCTGTCCAGTTCTCATAAGCCTGTTTTGGGTCTTCTTCTATGGATGGACATACCTCTGCCCACTGCATTTAATTTCTTCACTGATGGGCAGCTTACTGCCCCATCCCTAGGGATGTTTAAAAATAGCTTCTAGAATCTGAGATTATCCATTTATAACATCATATTCCAGCCACTCTATTCCCTGCTCATCCCATTGTCAGGTTTCCCATTTCCCACTTAACATTCCATATTATGTGATTGGAACACACACACCTTGCTTTTCCAAGTTTCTTTGCTTGTTTGTATCTTGCTATTACCCCACCACCACTACAAGTCTGCTGCTACCATCAGTAATAGCATATACTGTAGTTAATTATCTCACTTGTAAATCAAAGATAATATTTTAAATACAGTGGTGCCCCGCAAGACGGAAAACTCGCTAGATGAAAGAGTTTTCCGTTTTTTGAGCTGCTTCGCAAGACGAATTTCCCTATGGGCTTGCTTCGCAAGATGAAAATGTCTTGCAAGTTTGTTTCCTTTTTCTTAACACCGTTAATACAGTTGCGACTTGACTTCGAGGAGCAACTCATAGAACGCAGTGTACATAGTAGCCTTTTTTGAGGTTTTTAAAGACTTTGGTGATTTTTGAAGCTTTCCCAAAACTTCTTTTGCAGCCATTTGGTAAGTTAAGCTTTTAAAACTTGTTTGGGGGGGGTTTGGATTTTGGGTTGGGGTGTCTGGAATTCAAGGACTTGGTGTTGGGGAGGGGTTTGCAAGAATCTGGACGCTTGTGTGTGTGTTTTTCTGCATTTTTATGATTTTTTGTGACCATTGGGGCACTCTGTTTTTTTTTAAAAAAATTATGGGTTTGAATTTCTGTGTGGTGGGTGGCTGGGGGAACAGTTGGGGAGGGGTTTGCAAGAATCTGGAAGCTTGTGTTCCCCCCCCCCTGCATTTTTATGATTTTCTGTGACCATTGGGCCTCTCTGCTGTTTTTTTTTAAAAAATCTGGATTTGAATTTCTGTGTGGTGGGTGGCTGGGGGAACAGTTGGGGAGGGGTTTGCAAGAATCTGGAAGCTTGTGTGTGTTTTTCTGCATTTTTATGATTTTCTGTGACCATTGGGCCACTCTGCTGTTTTTTTAAAAAAATTTCTGGATTTGAATTTCTGTGTGGTGGGTGGCTGGGGGAACAGTTGGGGAGGGGTTTGCAAGAATCTGGAAGCTTGTGTGTTTTTTTCTGGCATGGAGAGGCTGCCAGTTCTGATGTTTCTGCGGCTGAAGACTTTGCAGCAGAGTTCCTGGAGGTTGTGAAGACGGAGGGCTACGTTCCACAGCAGGTCTTCAACTGCGACGAGACCGGGCTGTTGTGGAAGAGGATGCCCAAAAGGACTTTCATCACACAGGAGGAGGCCAAGTTGCCTGGCCACAAGCCCATGAAGGACCATCTGACCCTGCTCTTCTGTGCCAACGCAAGCGGCGACCTGAAGATCAAGCCCCTGCTGGTGTACCACTCGGAGAACCCACGGGCCTTCAAGAAACACAAGGTCAACAAGGAGCGGCTGAGTGTCATGTGGCGATCCAACAGTAAGGCTTGGGTCACACGTGTGCTGTTTGTGGACTGGGTCAATCATGCTTTTGGCCCTGCTGTCAAACAGTACCTGCTGGACAACGACCTGCCGCTGAAGGCTTTGCTTCTGATGGACAATGCTCCTGCTCATCCTAAAGGCCTTGAGGAGGACTTGCTGGAGGAGTTCAGCTTCATCAGCATCATGTTCCTGCCGCCTAACACCACGCCACTGCTCCACCCGATGGATCTGCAGCTCATTGCCAATTTCAAAAAACTACACCAAGGAGCTTTTCAGGCGATGCTTCGAGGTGACTGATTGCACCACCATCACACTGCGGGAATTCTGGAAGGACCACTTCGACATCGTCACCTGCTTGAAGATGATCACCACAGCCTGGAACGGGATCAGCCAGAGAAATTTGAATTGCGCTTGGCGCAGCCTGTGGCCGGACTGTGTGGCACCAAGTGACTCTGATGCACCAGAGTCAACAGTGGTGCAGGACATTGTTGCCTTGGGGAGGACCATGGGCCTGGAGGTCACAGAGGACATCAGTGAGCTGGTGGAGGAGCACGATGAGCTGACCACCCAGGAGCTGGTCGAACTGCAGGCAGAGGCTGCGCAGGAGCAGGCCTCGCTGGAAGAGGAGGAAGCAACTGAGGAACGGCTGTCCTCCAAAGAACTGAGGGACATTTGCCTGAAGTGGAAGGATGTGCAGGCTTTTGCACAGCGGCACCACCCTGACAAGCACGTGGCACATGACCTTGTGAACACTTTTGATACGAGGGTCATGTCGCCTTTCAGGGAGGTGCTGAAAAGGCGGATGAAGCAGCAGACCATGGACAGGTTCTTCAGCAAGAAGCAAAGAGTGGAAGAGGAACCTTCTTCGAGTTGTCCCCCAGAGTCTTAGAAAATGTACTGTACACTTTGTTGATTTTTAAATGTTTTTCTGTCATGTTTAGAAACTTAAATTATTGTTCCTTCAATTTTTGAAATGCTCTTTACAGTATGTGTGACTTTAAAGAGCACTTAATAAACTCTTGTTGTACCAAATTTGGCTTTGTTTGGACTTTTTTTGACCATAGGAACGCATTAATTGATTTTCAATGCATTCCTATGGGAATTCGTGATTCACAAGACGAAAAATCTCACGGAACGAATTAATTTCGTCTTGCGAGGCACCACTGTACTCATTTGTTTTGCTAGCATTACTATAAAGTTCTAAGGATGACATACGAAGTTCTTAGTTTGTAGCCAACATTGTTCTGCTCATGTAGACTTCTGCTTGTGTACAAGATTGGATGTAGTATCCATTTTGTCCTGCGCATCTACTGAAAACTGTTTTTCAAATTCACAGCAGTGCCATAACTATGCAGGATAAATCACTGTGATATGCATATGGTTGTAATTTCAAAGGTATCTCAAATTACCGTATTTTTCGCTCTATAAGACGCACCAGACCAGACCACAAGACGCACCTAGTTTTTGGAGGAGGAAAACTAGAAGAAAAAATTCTGAATCTCAGAAGCCAGAACAAGAAGAGGGATCGCTGCGCAGCCTGCATCTATAATTCACGAATGCAGCTATCTGGGATAGCTATGCAGCCTGCATTCGCTCCATAAGACGCGCACACATTTCCCCTTACTTTTTAGGAGGGGGAAAGTGAGTCTTATAGAGCAAAAAATATGGTATTTCACCCTCAGGATGCAACCATAAACACACTAACAAAGCAGGGAGTAAGACCCACTGAACAAAGCTTCTGAGTAAAGTGTGTGTAGTTATGTATGCTGAAGTAGTTATGTACATTAGAGACTTAGACTGCAGTCCTAACCCCACTTACCTGGGAGTACGCCCCACTGAATTAAAAAGGACTTACTTCAGAGTGGATATCATTAGCATTACGCTGTTAAAGAATAGCTGCACCCTGAACATGAATCCTCGGGACAGAAGGTAAGTGGTCTTAACACAGAATTTCTAGGTTTACTTGCAGACTATTAATGATTTTTTTAAAAGCAAATGCAGAACTGATGCTAGGCATTATACAATAAAGAGTGGAAAAACCACAGAAGGCATATTTATGGGTTATAAAAGCCCTTTTATAAAGCCATTTTTAAACAAAACCAAGAAGTTTACAAAAGAAAATAAGATACAGAAGAATAAGTTGCTTAATATATTCCCAAAAAAAGAGAAAAAAATGAGGGGGACACAAATCCAACATGCTGAACAATAAAGGGTTCTTTTCCATGTTCTCTTTTAATACAAAATACAAGCCAAGGATACACATACTTAAAACAGAGCTCAGGAGCAGATATGCAGTCCTGGGAACCCTTCAATAAAAAGCAAAGCAAGGTTTGTTAATTTTTTTTTAATTGCAAGTACATACAGAGACTGGAATATGTAAAATTAAGTAGCACAAAAGACCATCACACAATTCTACCAATGCATGTTGCATCTATAATTCACGAACATGGTCAACAACGTCATGTTCACTTCAACCCCCCCTTTCTTTAAAAAAATGCATTTTTTAAATAAAGCATTAATGTTACATTCAAACTGAACTTCTAGTACCATGCTGCAGATTTCATTGTCAAGGGAATGACAACCCTATTGGCTATTAATAGGACTGGTGACTGTGGCATCCTGTCTAGCAATATTCCTTCAGATAACTGACCAGTTGAAGTGCCATATTTGAGTCAGCAGCCTGTCTTTCAAGGCCATGAAAAAAATCCAGGGGAGACCAAGAACTCAACAGGGTAGTGAACACCCAAGACAAATATCCACTGCATTCCATTTCATCAACCTGTAGCTGATGCCAAGGGCAGTTGCCCCACTTGGAGTCTTTCTTTTTACCTCTTTACATTTGAGAATAGTTCAGGGTTTTACTGTGACATGTTCCTGGTAAACAAATTATGTAATTCTCTTATATACAACTTTTGTAGTAACTGTTTCTGCGGGAAAAGTAAAGTTCACAAATTTCTAACACACATTAAGTTGTCAGACGGACACCCACACATGCACGCTTACACGCACACCCACTCCCATTCACACAAGATACTTGAAGGGGTTTTCATGTTATTGTGGCTTAAAGCAAGTTTGCGTATTGTTTTGCCCCAAACCCCTATAAAAAATCCCTCCCCAGATATACAAAGCATATGCACAATGGTATCTTGCAGTCACACCAAGCATGCTCAAACTGATGGAACCATTCCATTTTCTACAGTTTTGTACAGGGGCAGGTGGGGCAACAGGTACTCTCAACAGTGGTCAACACAGCATACAGTGAATGCTTTAATAGACTTGAAAGGCAAAACCTCTGCTTCAAGGGATAGAAAAGTTTCATGAAGAAAAACCAAGTGTGAGCTACCCAGTGAAGCAAACTGAAATGAGAATGGGGGGAAAGGAGGAATACCAATGGCAACTGTCAGCTTAGTGAATTATGGGTCCTTAAATTATTACAAGTATACCCCATGCCCAAGAGGAGATTTGCTATCCAGTTTCCATTTGGGCCCAAGATTCCACAAGTTGTTTGTTCCAAATGCAACCCGAAGAGGAGGGGGAAGAGAAGAGGGAAGGGTTGTTGGGTTTCAGTAACAGGTGGACCCAAGCCCCACACAGAGCCTATTCAATGAATATTTGGAGGGAAGGGGGGAAACAGTCAAATTCCTCCACGAAGCACTAATGTAACTTTCCAAATAGCTAAAATCATAGGATTTTCCAAATAGCTAAAATCATAGGAATCAATTTCCTTTTATTTTATAAAACAATGTGCCAACATTATGATTTGTTTTAAAAAAATAAACACTCCACAGAAAAATTACATAAAGCAAAAGCACCAATTTCTACAGCTCATAAGCTTCTAGCATGTTATAGCTCTTGTCCTGCCCCACCTCCACTCCTTAGTTTAGCTGTTTGTTGTACTTGGGACTCATGCTTTAAAATTAAGTTTTAAAAAGTATTTTCAATCCACATAATTAAACATTTCCGTACTTGGTGCAGGCATATCACAATTGAGTATATTCAGTATCTGCATCACATCTTCCCTACTAACAATTCCAGAAGGGTTTACAGACCACCTGAATGTATATACATTTCCCCATCTCTCCCAATATATTTATACACGATTCGTACGTTAGATTAAACTGAGCACTAAGCCCCTTGATTTAAGTTTTATTGATTCGCCCTAAAACATTAGATTGAAAAGTAAAAGCCATCCTAGAGTATACTTGGATATTCACCTTTAAGGTGTGCAGGCTGTTTCTTCAGCACCATGGCAACCACTATCTCGTCAAGTCCCCAAGGTAAGCTGCAAAAACCCTTTCAAACCCCTACTAAAATTCTGTTTATACCCTTACTCCTTTCACAGTTTCTTGCAAAGCTAAAACTTACGATACACTGAAAATATTTGCTTTTGGTTTTTCAGCAAATTTGTAGTAAATCTTATTAAATAACCTGCCACTCCCAGGAAGCAATCGATGTACAGTAACACACACTGAAGTATACCGATTTGTTTCTCTGGCAATACTTGTTCCAAGGGACAAACTAGTGAACTGATACGGCTATCACATCCCTAGAATACTGCACTCAGAAGCCATATACACAGAGGCAGAGAAAACTGATTTTGCAAACTAGAATTACAAGTTTAAAATATTGACATTATTTTGCTAGTGTTACACGGACTGCAGGAGGGAAACACTTTCCTTCCATCTCTGGACTATAAAGAATGGTGAGAGAAAGCAGTTAAATGTTTTCACTCACAATATTCTAAATATTTGCTTCCAGGGAGACATATGCAGAACCCAGTAAAATCATAGCATATAGTTTGGGTTTTCACAGATTCAACATAAAATAGCCTGCTCTCCATCATGCACAATATCTGATACACAGAACTGTTTTTAAAAATTCAAGGGGGTAATGGGTTCAAATAAACGAAAAAGAAAAAAACAGGAGTCTTGATGACTTTCTTATGCATCCTATACACTGTTGAATGCGTTAAAGGATGCCAAGAAAAAAAAGACACACATTTTTCAAAATAAGTGAATCAGCAGCAGAAACATATTCAGACAGCAATAAGCAGTTGGCTGATCATAATGGCTAGAGCTAAGCTCTCAAAAACGTGTACATTTGGAGCAGCCAAATAGACTAGGTCACCAAGTGCTTCATTTGCAGTATAGGATAAGTTTCCCACTTTGAACTCAACACTCTGAAAGAAGCAATACAGTCTTCATGCCCGTAGTACCCAGATCACACAGCCAATTAAGCTTTGGCTAAATTGGCAAATGTGAGTCAAGCTGGACTGGCTTCTGTCCACGGAGGATCTCAAGATATTTTTGCTCTCTAATTATTGTTCAAAAACACATATGCTAACATCAAAACTGTTACTCCAACCCAGGAGAAATTTGTGTTCTTTCACTAAACCCCAAAGCAGATGTAAAGTGGAAGTCATGTAGACACAAGTAGAGCTATTATAAATAGCAAAAGTCTGAATAAGCCAAGGTTGAAAAGCACATACCTATGCCATGTGTGTGTATGCATGTGTGAGAGAAAGAACCTACATGGTATTTCACTGCTTTTATATTCTTTGCATGGCCTTACAATACTAGCCAAGCAGACCTTGTCCTTGAAGAGGATGCTTGTGAATAACATTCTCTACACTTTTAACCATCTTAGCACAGATGACAAAGGACCTGGCTTCAGAACACTGATACTCAAAATCAATTTGCAAAGAGATTATGGTTGAAAGTGTTATTGCAACTGTACAAAATGAAAGATGTAAAGCAGATGGCACTCCAACTCACACTTAATACTGCAGTTCCTTTACCTGGGACTGAAAAGCAGAGTCTGTCTTGTGTCTAAATTGGCAATACTGATACATCAGTGAAAACTTGTTTTGCGCACTGGAAAGATATCCTGATTTTGAGATGCACTATTTCTGCTACATCATGTCTTCCAGTTCACACTCTGTTCCTCACTTATCCTAGGTATATAGCCTCTGCTAACTAGAGAATAAGTAAGATCTAGCAATGGAGAAAGCAGAAAGCAGGGGAAACTAAACTAAGCAAGGAAATGATGGATCAGGATAAATTAAACCCCTTGTTGGTGGAAGCTGTGTAGTCTGACTTTTGAGGATCTCAGGGAAAGGAGTACTTAAGCCATGACTCTTGGATTGAAAAAGACACTGTGCCAATATATAAAGTCACTTCCACGTTTCTAAAGAATACCTCTCTCAGCCTCCCATCCCAACTTTTCAAAACAGTTGTTCCAGCTTCCAAAAATCTCCCTGAAACCAAGCTTTAAATTTTACGCAAAGCTTCAAAGCAGCATAAAAAGATGGACATTTCAAAACGAATGAGAGTCAGGAAAAAAATGAATGCAGTTCTGCCAACTGGAATCCTATCCTTATCAATAAGCAGCAATAGTATCTACGGCATGAACAGGTAGGGTCTTTCAGAAGACTGAAAAATAGAACAGACCAAATGGTCATTAAAACAAGACTGTGGAACCCCAAACATTCAGAGTATTGGAACTTAAAACCCATGATGGATTTCAAACTAATTCATATACTAATTATGTCAAAGGAAATGCAATGTGCAATAATATATTTGTTTTGGATTCAATTAAGCAACAGTTGCCTTAGAAGAATTTCTGCAGCTTTGGAAAACCTATACCATTAGTTAACTATGATTTCCAAGTATCAGCCTCATCCTTATTGCTTTACAACTGCAGTAAGCCTTCAAAAATATATCTTTAGTATGCTGTTAATTTAAATCTAAATGGCTTTCAAATTTGGTTGGGGAGAACGGAATGGCCAGTAGAGACTGTGACGTCAAATCATTATTGTGTAAAGGTTCTCTTAAAAAAAGAAGAAAGTACTGTACTATTAAAACAGCTAAAGTAAAGGTGGCATTCACAGCCCATGAGTCAAGCCACAAACAAAACCATGTTCTACCCCCTAAGTATATTCTCTTTTCCTTACTCTCTCGCTCTCTCAAAAAAAGTTTCTCTCCCACACCACCATTTAATCTTCACCAGAGGGGACTTCATCTTCAGACCCTTCATCCCCAGATTTGTCTGGAGGAGGACTAACTGATTTCTTCTTTCCTGGAGGACTTTCAGGCTCTTCGTCATCATCTTTTGGGGATGGGGTCTTTTCTTTTGATGTCTTTGAAGCTGTGGGACGGCCTCCCTTCCCTTTGCCCTTCACTGGACTAGGTGTAACTGAAGGAGGAAAAGCATCAAAATGTAACAAAGAATCTTACAGTTAGTGCTTTTTTAAAAAAATCGGCTTCTGAGCACATTTTAAAATATGTTTTTCCTTTCTTAACTTTTCAATCTGGTAATGCAGGAATGAAAGCGTATTAGTACTATTGAACATAGCTTAAATTCCTACAAGATGATGCTTGTCAGGGCTCCAAGAAGTGTGTGGCAGAGGCCCCCTGAGGCTGATCCAGGGGGGGGGTCAGTGATTTATGGGGTTTTGTGCCACCTGTGAGGCAGGAGCTTGGTCTGGACCAAGTGTCTGAACAGTCAGAGACAGTGGAAGGGGTGCAGGATGCGTCAGGAGCAGAGGAAGAAACTGTTGAGAGGGGCAGGCTGGTAGAATCCCCTCCGTCCCCTTCCCTGTTGTCTCCCAGGACGGGTTTGAAGAGACAGGCACAGCGGTGATTTCAGTGTAGAAGTCACAGCTTGTTTGTGTGTACCCTGTCAGGGAAGGGAACTTAAGTGTGGGTGGAGGCAGGGTCATGTGGACGCAACAGTCCAGCTCAGAGCACAAGCCCGGGGAAGGAGTACCAGTTATTCAGTTGCCATAAGTGGTGTGTGTGTGTGTTTGGTGCACCTTGGGAGCTACTCTAGTGCATGCTGTCATTAAAGAATTAAGCTACTGGCTGTTTGTCTTCCTTGGGCTTGGTGTGCTCAGGCCAATGCCCAATTCCTCCTAATAAGAACTGTATTTTTTTTAAATTATTATTTAAAAAAGACTTATGAGAGCCTGCTATTGTGGTCAGCAATAAAATGTGCCCGCAATGAGGCACCCTCTCCCACATCCTTCTTAAAGGTGCCATTAAAACTTTCTTAGAACTGATGCTCACCATCTTTCTCTTCTCCAAGGGTAAGCAGCCAGTTATGATAAAAGCAAATTTGAAACAGAATGACTTTCACTAAAATCTGAGGGCATCATAGGGTTAGTGTAATGTAAGTTGGGCATGTGGCAATTACATGGTTGTACATACTCCTAAATAATGCACAGCATTTCAAGTGTTGTAACTGATTTTAGGCTGAAAACACAGCCAGCGTGAATGCATTTATTCTAAAATTCTCCTTCAGTATAGCAGCTAAAGGTTAGGAGCGCCATCTCTTCCTTTCTCCTAGAATCATGATACATTTGATATTTAAAGGAACATAACAGTTGGGCATACCCGTTATCAAAGTAATTGTTTAGATAATTTAATCCAAGCCTCCAAAAAAATTTTCCACCCACACTGTGCTTACACTTTTGTTAAGACAAGGTTTAACCAAATGAGTATTTATGCTTTCAGGATGTATGTAGCTTTGTGTACACCTGGAACTGTGCTAAGATTCACCATATTATTTTCACGCCTAATGGAACAAGAGGAATTTATTAGGATTGGTAGGCACGAACATCACCTGTTTTAATCAGCACTGGCAAGTGGTCTGAACACAATATTGGTAACCAAGAAGTCATAGAATCCCATCCTGATACAGCCACTAGCTTCTTTGAAATCAGGAGCATACAAGAACTTTCCAGTAATCAGCTCTACCACATTATACAGACTGCCATGTATGTTAATAGGGATAAATTGCTAGTTGAAAATTGATTGCTTCCTATTCTTTCAAGCACAAGAGATGAAGAGCGGAGAAAACATAAGCACTTGCAAGCAAATTTCCATTATGTTATTCCTAACAGGTGCAAAGGGGAAGCAAGCTGAGCTCACCTGTAGCCTTTAGCCTTGGTTTAGGCATTTTCTTTTCTTTCCTTTCTGGTTTGGATTTCTTAGCCACTTTTTTGTTCTTCTTTTTTGAACTGCCATAGTCACTATCATCATCATCTTCCACAAGGAAGTCTTCATCGCTGCCAGACTCTTCTGTGCAGAGAGAGAGGAATGAAATGTCTCTAAGAAGGGCTGTCCTTGTTCACTTGGAAGAGAGACAGAATGGGGGAGAAAGTCTGGTAGGTTGATCAAGGGATAGAAGTCAGCATTCTTGGCTTCTATATCCTGTAACATACTTGCTAGAACTTGGAGAAATCAGGACTTCTGCGCCTCAGTATTTCCTCATGTAAATCTGCTTTATGACTGGTGACAAGCAGCACAATTATTTAAAACAGCAGTGGCATAGGCATATTTCTCCTTCCCTCAAGAGAAATTACATGGAGGCTCATCCTGACCATTTCCTATGCCAGCTGCTGTAGGTTCTATATGAATTCCCTTCCCAGCCTATGTCTGTTCTCTTGTTCAATATGGTCTTCCATCTTGTAGCAAGCTGTAGAAGTGCCCTCGGAAGCAAACACCAGTAACTTATTATATATGGAATAGCAGTAGCTTACTGCTTCCTCTAACAGACTTCCAGGTTTTGAATCCAGATGTCCATGATTCTAGTTCATCAGCTCACTGGGTTTCTCTTGTTTATTTGCACACATTCACAGCAAATATCAAACGGGTCCCCACTTTTCATCATTTAGAGCAAGGGTATGTCAATTTGCACAACAGACAAGCAAGAAAGCAAAATCTGAGGTGCAGGCATTTTACCACATATTGATTTTTAATTGCTAGCCATGTACACAAGGGGATTTGAGGCCCTTTACTGTCTCCTGAAGCCAGATAGGATGGTATCTGTAATCAAAGTGGCCTGTTCAGTTTGTTGTCCAGTGCTGAAGATAAAACAGTGACGAATATGGCAAGTTTGTATCTTACTAATAGAAATATTGACTAAAAGCTCTCCACATGTCCTAAAAGATTTGGACCCTGAACTTGAGGAACAGCATTGTTTTCCCTTCCCTCTTTGTTGTCAACAGCCAAGCTGGACACTAAGTACATTAACAATGAAGTGCATTCAATACTCAAGAAGCAGAAATGTCAAGTTTGCCTACCTTGGCAGCTTAGCCTGGATAGATCAAGCATGGATGTAATTTGTCGAACCCACTCCTATTCTACATTTGTGTGTGCCGTTCGGTGCCACTTACTTTCCTGAAACGATGCCTCCTCCTCTTCCTGGTCTTCCTCCTCACTGCCCACATCATCCATGAGCATTTCTCGCTGCTTGGAAGCAGCTTTGGATGCTGCCTGTCGCTGCTGGCGCACATTTTTCTGATCTTCTTTCTCATCCTCACTGTCCTCTGTTATAAAGTCACCAAAGAACACTGAAGATGGACAGTACAGCACACATTTCCAACTGGGGTAGGGAAGAAACTAGGGGGAAATAAAGGCTTATCTATTCATGACATAATTCAGATTTGCTGAACACTGAACTTATCTGAAAGCTTCTAATTTTCAATCATTCCGAAGTTGTCTCCATGCAAAATACCCATCTGTAATGGTAAATAATGGAACACCCAGCACTGGTTAACCTGCTGCTCTCTACACTGGAAATGGAACTCAGTAGAAGCAGGGCTCAGAAGTGCCTGGCGTGCTCTGGTCCATGGGGTCACGAAGAGTCGGACACGATAAACGACTAAACAACAACAAGAAGCAGGGCTAGTTTTTACATAACATACTGTTCATTTCCCTTCTCTGGCTCTCTCATCTGAGAAAAGGTAGCAAAGCTTTGTGGATAAACATTGATTCTTTCTTTCTTTCTTTAAAAAGGGAAGTATAACCAAAATCAGAACAAAGATGCTAATCAAATGAGGACAGAAAAGGATGGATAGAGCCAGGGCCAGCTCAACCAGGAGGCAAAGTGATGCGACCATGTCAGGCAGCTGGATCCACAGGGGCAGCAGATCCCCATGTAGATCATCATTTACTTGTTATACCTGATGTAGATCTTCACTCACTCCTTCTTCCCTGGCGGGGAGAGGGCTGACATTTTGTGGTTCACCTCAGGTGCCAAAATGTCTTTGGCTGGCTGGCCCAGGGTAGAACAATCCCAACCTTCACCAGGCAGCAAGGCACGAGTTGAGCAGCTGATTGGGCCTGAGGCTGCCAAGTGATAGTGGTGGGACTGGCTCAGGATCCCCCCCCCCAAAAAAAGCATTATGTTCTGGAGATTTTTGTGGGCACTTCAGCAGGCAGAACACGGAGTTCACCCTTGGAAGAGTGACTTCGCCATAACTCTGTGATCAGAGGTCTTTTTGAGCTCAGAGGGGGAAGCCTTCCCCAGCATAGCAGATTGTGGGTTTGTATTGTGGCCTAAGAAGAGTTACTGATGAGTTGTTTGGGGGGGGGTTGTTTGTTTGTTTTTTAAATTAACTATTTTCATATAACAAATTATTTCAACAATTGTATTTCCCCCCAGTTCCCCCCCCCCACGACTTCCCTCAGTTCCTCTTTCTGGTTTGTTAACATATATTGTTCTCTGCATATTATAAAAATGTAAAAATCTCTAAATTATCCATCTATTGTGTTAACAAATAAATTTATGTATGTTTATTCAAAAGTGATGAATGTTTTAATGTACATCCTTTGGCTGAAGGGACTGTGCTAAGCAGCACAGGCTACAAAAAGCTTTGAAGCAAGTCCAGTGAGGAAGCAGAATGTGGAATAATATTTATTCTTCAACAAGTTTAAGTATAACTTGACCAGTCTTCCAGTCACACACCTAATATGTATGGTTGCTTAGATATGCCAAGTTGGCTAAATTAAGTAAGAAATGGGCCTTCCCTCAGTTTTCTGAAACAGCATTACATGAAATTGTCTATGTAAGATGTTATGCAGGTGATGACATGTATTCAGGCTACAATCCTAACACCACTTATCTGGGAATAAGCCCTGCTGAATTTACTCTGACTTACTTATCAGTAGACATGGCTAAGCCTGCACTGATAGGCATTAACCGAATCCATAGATACAAATATATTGCAGGAAGCTGAAGTTTAATGTAGGCCAGGTTGCAGATATCATTACCTACTGCTTCATACACAGGTGGGGGACATCTTTAGCTTGAGGTCACATCGGAATGGGTCAAATGCCAGTGATAGGTGGAGATTAAAGGCAAAAGTTGAGTGCAGCAATGGATATTCCTCTTATAGTAGGCTACATTTTAGGCAAGCAAAAGCCAGAGGTTTCTATTCCTTCTTCCATACCTCTCCATCCTCTAACATGGAAGCAAGAAGCCTCACAGTTCAAGGACGTATTCCAGCCAGGTAATTACACTCAAGAAAGTAGAGTAGAACTAATAAGGGTTGTAGCCTGGGGACAGATTTTGGCCTAGAGAGTGTCTTGAGGGCTAGATAAAGAAGCTCGGAGGGCCACATTTGTCCCCAGCACCTGAGATTCTCCATCCCTGGCTTAATGTGAATGTGCAGGGCACTTCTGCACACTGCTGAAAACACAGACACTTTGTTCCTCCCTTGCTTCAACTAGGAAACAAACTATGGGCTCACTAGTTATGTCATGTGAAGCATGCGTCCCTGGTTTTTCTCCAAACACACCATAAATGGTAAACCAAGAACAAACCTTGGCTTCTGTTCATGGTTTCTTTGGAGAGGAACAAACCACGAGCCAATACAAGCCACAGCACAGCTTGTTTCCCGGAAACATGGCAGAAGCAGGAGAGGAAAGGAGAAAAGTGAAGTGCCCCTGATTTCAGTAGCGTGCACCCAGCACAATGCTCATTCCCACTGAACCATGATTTTAACTATGGCTGAATGTGACTTGCAAACCAGGTCATAGTGAGTTACTTGATTTACACAGCCTTTACCTGCAGCCCTTTTCCTGGATTTGGAAGTTGCTCTTTTGTTCTTGTCAGGTTTCACTTTTTTCCCTTTTTTGTTCTTTTGAGAACTCTCATAGTCACTATCAGCTTTGCCATCATCTGCTCCTAAGTCATCCTCACTGCCAAAATCTTCATCTGAGGAAAAAATGGTGATAAAAGTTATTCTTAGCCTTCTACTGCAGGGAAGCACAATCAGAAATGGTAGACTATTCCAGGCTTTAATGCTAAAGACCAGTGAGCAAGCGCAGAACAAAGGAAAGCGCATTTGATACTGTTACAGACAATTTAGAGAAGAACACAGTCAACATTTCTGAGAGAAGCAATGGCAGAGAAAAGAACTCCAGCTGGTTATCTATATAGTAAGATGCATAACTTACCCGCTGAGTGAGAATCATCTCTCTTTGTCTTCATATCTTTTTCTGAGTCTTCACTGTGAAAAGGAAAATTAGTAGATCTAATTCAAGTACAACCATGAAGATTATTTTATTATTAGTGCATTCTGAGGTAAAGGAGGAAAGCAGCTAGGTTGTTTCATCTGAACAAAAAGACCTGACTGAATTTATTAATTCTATTCAGTTTATTATCTACTCCAGGAATAAAAAGATATCTACTAAAGTACTTTTATACTGCATCATTCTAAATATAGCTTTCAGACAACAAGCAATTTTGCTTAATTGCTGAAGCAACTCTTGTGCTTCCCAAGTTGCAAGGAGGGGAATTCTGAAGGAAAAAATCCAAATGTTAACTATAAAATCTGCATAGCAATGGTATTTATCTTTGAAGTTTGCAACAATCCCCTACTACTCTACCAGCTTATAAAAAATCCAAAACCCATTTCAGAGGAAAGGCAAGAAGTCCAGAATAAGAGAACCACAATTTATTTGAAAAAAGCTGAAGTGCTTTTATTGAAACACACAGTATAGGGCACTATATTTGTCATTTTCTGTGTATATATAAAAAATCCTTTTTCCTAGTCATCCAAACTAAGTTGGAAAAGTGTATAGGTCCTCAAGTTAAAGCCACCTATATAACAAACTTAAGTAGCAGGGATCTTGCTTACCTATCCTCTTGAGAATTCTTTCCAGACCGCCTCTTATTTTTTGCTTCCCTTGGTGATGAACGAATTTTCTTGGCTGGAGGGGCTGAATCTCTGCCATATTCTTCATCTATATTGTAAGTGGGATAAAACAGGTGTTGTGGATGATTACAGGTTTGCCAGTTAGTATAATTAAATGGTATAACCATGAAAGATTAGCACTAAGCACAGCATCCTGCTAAAATGCCATGAAACAACTGAAAATTGGGGCTGCTGAAAACCTAGTAGTCTTTTAGATTGGATTTGATGATTCTCTGCAATTATTATGGTTCATTTTAAGTTGGCGGTATTTTAATTAGTTTGGATATGGAATGCAAGTAATGCCTATTAAACAGCAATTTATGAGGTTTTTAAAATAAACTCATACTTAGAGGAAATTAACACTCAAGAGAATATTTAAAAGCCCCAGTAAAATAACATGGCAGTTTCGTTGAGTTTGGATTTGATATCCCGCGTTATCACTACCCTAAGGAGTCTCAAAGCGGCTAACATTCTCCTTTCCCTTCCTCCCCCACAACAAACACTCTGTGAGGTGAGAGGGGCTGAGAGACTTCAAAGAAGTGTGACTGGCCCAAGGTCACCCAGCAGCTGCATGTGGAGGAGCGGAGACGAGAACCCAGTTCCCCAAATTACGAATCTACCCTTTGAATACAGATCTCCTTAACTCCTCAATTTCTCTGTCTGGGAGACTATCTGGTTTATATCCAAATAGCAGTGAGCAGTTGTCAATTGTTTTTACAACCGCTTTTATACACAGGTGAACAGTAGTGTCATACAATAAGGATTTCTCAAATTATCAGGGTTTCATGTGAAGAATAATGATGGACGCACCACAGTATTTTGCCCACTGCTCCCAATCCACTGCAACTTGAAGCCACAGTGGACCCCTGGATGTGGTGTGCTCTAAGGCACACTCAGTTCATATAAAGTTTCCTGGAGGAGGAACAATATACAATACTTAATATTTGGCTGCAATACTGAGAGCTGCCCTAGGAACCTGTTGAGTGATGGTGCATAAAGCATATCAATTAATACAAAGGAAGGTAGAAACTGAAATACAGGTTTCACAACAATACTGCACTTATGCCTACTGCCACAGTCTGTCTGTCATGATGAATTTTATTGGGGTATGTTTTTGGGTTTTATTAAAAAAATAAAGATGGTAAATGGTTAAGGGTTGTATCCAATGCTAGTCCTAGTCAGAGTAAATCCACTGGAGTTAATAGACATGAATAATTTACGTTCATAAATTTCAATGGGTCTACTGTGAGCAGGATTAGCATTGGATACAAACCTAATTCATAAGCCAAACTACAATAGTTAAGAGCTCGACAGACACACAAACAGCTGGTTGGCTTTAAATGCCTTGGTAAGTTCTTGTTGTTCCTTGATTGGTGAAGATCTTGCACAAGTTATAACTGAATAGCCAACAAAACAAAATTAGAAACAACATAGGATAGCACCATATTTTGTTTTCATTAATTACCACCATAGCAGCTTCATTCATCAGACAGTAACAGCATGTGTGCTTTCCAAGAAAGGAAGAAAAAAATCCTGTAGAGGTTCCAGAAACATTAATATAATTCACTTGCAGTACTCCAAGAAGGAAGAGAGCCTCAGAGGAATGGAAATTAAAAAGCCACATGCTAAAACAACGTGTTGACCAAACTAGCAACTCTCAAATACCTATTCAAGATAGCACATCTGCATCACCCCTTGCTAAAACATTATGCTTACTGTTTGGCTGAATAAAACTACACAGCTTAGAAGCACCCTTGCTCTTTAAACCATGCAGTGCCCACCACTTTAAGTAGCTGCCAAAGACTGTCAATAGATTTAAACTTACCTGCATCATCTGACTCCTGAAACTGTGAGTAGTCCACCACTTTTCTGTTCCTAGAAGGGCAGAAATACAGAAGTTTAAGCAGACTGAAATGTTATAGCATCTACAATTAATGTTAATAACAAGACTCCTTCACCAATATACTGCTTTCCTAGACTAGATTTCAATCCGTCAAACCGCTTTAAAGAGGCATCCAAATGACACAGATGGGATACTCTTTGGTTCCTGAAGGAAGCAAGAAACTTCAGGCAGCAACCTTTGCTACTGATGACTGTATACACCCATTTTTAGAGATGACTGAAGTTATAGCAAATGGCCGGTGGAAGAGGCTTTGCAATGCTGCTAAGTGTGCCCACAATACTTCCAGATTAGACAACATGAGGCCTCAGCTTTCCTCTTCCTCCACATAGCTCCCAAGCTGTTGACAGTTCAAACCTTAATCACCTGGCCATAGCCTTAGTTTGGGGGATGGTTGTTCAGGACTGGTAACATAGGAAGCTGCTCAGCCAGCCCCTAACCTGGACTGCAATGCAAAGGGGAAAGGGAGGGGGAAAGAGGGTGTGTGAGATTGTGCATGCGCACGCAGGCACACACAGTATCCATGCAGGGTCTCCCTCCCCTTTTGAAGGATGGAGAGGAAATTGGTTCCACTGTGATCTATTTATATCCTGCTACTCCATGGGCTCAGAATGATTTACAACAGTTTTTCTAAACGCCCAGGGGTTCCCACCTATCTCTTGCTTTCTAGTCTACTGAAGCTTTAAACAATTTCTAGTTTCCTATTCATACGAGATAGTTTAAGTAGATTTCTGGAAAAGGGAACTAGAAAATACATCAATGAGAATTTTGGAATTAAAAAATATTGATAAGAAATAGGCTATTTTGAAAAATTAACTCAAGCTATTGATGCACACTATTTTAAGAGAAAAGTGGCATACAGCTGATACTTAACCATTCTAAAACTAAATGAAAAGAATCTTTGATGTTGGAAATGTGCATCTTCTGATGCAAATGTTCTTATCTGGCAGGGATGCTCTAAATGCAGAGACACCCAATTTAATTGTATGCAGTCAATTCACAACTTAAGCACATCTATCTTGCATGAATTTAGCTTTACATGCTTAGCTGATATAACATTGAAATTAAGGTGGGGGGAGCTGGCAATCCTACCCACCATTTCACTCACCTTGGGAGAGCATGTTTGGACTATATGTGATTTCGGCTTTATGTACTATCCCCAGAACATAATCCTAGCATGTTGAGAGTTGACTGTATTACAGTACTTGTTCATATAATTGTAATGGTAATATTTGATGAATATGAAAACTGGACATGGTAAAGAAAATGAAGTTAAATATATATATATATTACACCCACTTGCCCCACATTTGATGTCATGTGTAGGGCAGGTAGATGCAGTTAGATTGGCTGTGCAACCTAGTTCCCTGTGGAGAACTTGATCACAAAACTAATCCCTGAAAAAAGGAGAGCTGAAGTCACTGACCATCAGCTTCAAGCATGCTGGAGTTCAAGCCTGCAGGATCAGTTGGGTAACTGAGTTTCCCATGGGAAACTCAAATCACACAGCTAATTTCTGTAGAAAGTTCCTTGCGCTGCAGTTTCCAAGCAGCTGGCCACCAGTTGGCTGTCAAACCCTTGGGAAGTGCTGCGCAAAGGGCTTTGACAAGTGGGCGTGACAGCCCACCTACCATTCATTTGAGAACATGTTTTTGACAGATGGATTGTCCTACCCACCTGTCAAGTTGGTCCACATGAGGGGGACCAATAAGGATTTGGCCCAACAGGACAAATAGTTCCCCACTCTTGACCTAGCCTTATTATGCAAGACTTTGGAGTATGCTTTAAGCAGTAGGCACCTGTTGCCGAAAATCAAGCAAGCCTTAAAAAATGAATTAACTAACTCAAGTGAATTGAGAATACCTCAACAAAATTACTACTGTACTTCACTTACAATGATGTTGCCAAGCACTCTTTACTCACTTTATGCTTTGTATCACTACAATGAACAAAGCTAATTTGGGAATAAAACTGAGGAGTCAATTCTAGGAAAACAGCAAAATAAATATCAGAATGACACAGATAATTTAATGTATTTGGTGTGTTCATACCTCACATCATCTTATTTCTTAAACTTATTGGCCCTGTTCAAACCTAACACCAGCTGTTAAAGTTACTATCTGCATAATTATTACTGAGCTAGGAAAGGCATGCTTTCTTCCTCTAAGGCAGGCATGTTGAAAGTCCATTTTGGGGGCCTAATCCAGCCCACCGGTCAGTTTAATCTGACCCTTGTGGCAGTTTATATCCTGAGGTAAAATCCTAAAAAAACCTCAGCAACTTCAATCCTAAAAAAAAGTTTAACAACTTTGGTCGGCCCTTTACTTCATCAAATCTGGCCCTCTCAAAGATGTGAATATACAAAAGGAATCAAAATATTTTTAAATAAAAAAAAAATTCAATTTTCACAATTAAAAGCACTACATTTCTTAAATATTTAATAGTTTAGATGTAATCAAGTTACCCACTGCAGTTACTCTCTAAACTGAATCGGTGCTACTATCTGATACAATGAGCTGAAAGAGGCTTTTCCAAGCAAATGGAGATTCAATCTGACACTTTCTCAAATATGGGTATTTACACTTTGCCTGCCAAATATAGGCATTTCATTTACACCAAATGAAACTGCTCTAGTCTGCCCAGTAACTTTCTACCTGTTAGTCATTTGCATTTCATTTTTGTTTGCTACTTCATTCTTATGACAGCTGAGTTCGACCAAGGCAAAGTGAACTTAAGATGGTTTTCAAAGTAGAAATATTCCTTTGATTTCAAACAGTGTGGGGCTTACTGTAAGTGCTGATCAGCTGATCGGGAACTCAACAGCACAGCTGCTGGGCTTGCTATAAAGCTGACAATCCTTGCTTGGATGCAAAGCAACAGCCCTTAGTAATCTAGATTGTACATTTGAAGGTGCACCTTTCCCTGCCCCATACCTCATATCACATATGATATTAAACGCAAGGCAGATGGATATGGTTTTGGGGAAATGGTCTCAAAAGCCAAATTAGGACCTCTTCTGGGCCTAGCTTGGCTTATAGGATGGTGGTTCCCTTGCACTGTCATTTGGAGATATTTTAAAGGGATTCCCTCTATAGGTGAAAGCATGCAAAACGTACAGTGTGACAAAGATGAAATGTCTGGTTGAATCCAGTGTAAATAATGCATGTTGATCTTGAATACGGCAAATATCAGAATTATTTTCCCATGCTGCACTATTTCTTACATTAAAAAAACTGAAAAGCATTCTAAAATAGAAATGTTTCGTAAGAGTATGTTTTTTTTTAAAAAAAAAAACTATTTCCACCGCAATGCTGGGGGTGCTGGAGGACAGGGACACAACTGTGGGCTCATCCTGAGCTTAGTGCTGCAATATGAGGGAGGGGCAAATCATACTGGGGTCCATGTTGCTCAGGAGGCTGGTCCATGCAGCGCTGTGGCAACCAGCTGGCATGTAAGGATGAGGCAGCCGTTGAACATCCCACACCTTCTTCTTTGGCTGCATTTATTTACTAGCTTCACAAGAGGCTTCAATCTTTTTTACCAGAAGACTTCTAAAACATTTTTTTATTATTATTATTTATATCTCGCCTATTATCCTGACAGGGACTCAATGTCTCCATTGTTAATGAAAGCACATACATATGTTTGTGTACTAAATTTTGTTTAATAAGTAAACATATTAAATCTATTGTGTATTTAAATAACATTAACTATGTTACAAATACTTTAATTTATGATATGGAAATGTAATTCAGTGTGTGGCCTGCAGGTTCTGTGTCAAAGTACTCTTGCAACCCACTTTGTCTGAGAGGTTGGACCGCTCTGTTCTAGAAGACCATGGGAAGGATCCTGACTTATTAAACAAAATAAATGTTGGCTACATCCACCCATTTTAAACTGACATCATAAATGGCAAACAACTTAATACAAGCATAACAAAAGTAATTAACCTTAGCAAGAATGCACATGCAAACCACCAAGACTACTTGTATTTTTGGATGCAGCAAAGGCATTTGACATGGTAGAATGGAAGGATTTTGTAGGGAAACTTTATTTTCAACCTAGACTAAAGCTATTTATATATTCCTTATGTTCAGCATGATAGAAAATGAGGTTTGCTAAGTAATTCACTTCTTAAAAAATGGACAAAGGGTGCACTTTATCCTCACTGCTATTTGCACTTGCACACTTGCAATTGAAACACTTTACAATGCAGTTCACTCCATTTGCAAAATAAGTGGCAGTCAGGCATACTAATCTCAAATCAAAATCTTGTTACATTCACATGGTGCAATGTTATCCATGGAGTAGCTTTGTGAGCGCTTGCCTGTATCATTCCAATTAATAACTAAATAAAGACACTTTATTTTTGTAGCTGAAAATCAACCCACAAAAGTCTGACTCAGGCTTCCAACTCTAACCCCACTTACCCAGGAGTAAGGTTCACTGAATCCAAAGGATTTACATTTGAGTAGACATGGTTAGGGCTGTGCTGTTAATCATAATCAGTTCATCAATGTTGGACAATGTCTATACAGCATCAAAGTATAGGCTCTAATAATCCTATGAGGTATCTGGGAAGTAATTAATAATATAATAAGCAGGTTTTGGCTGGCCTTAGTAGTGAAGCCAAAAGCTATGGACACCAAAGACAGACCCTTTCTCTGCCTATTGTGGTGCTCTACAGCTGAGACAGCCCCCTGACACTCTCCTTCAGGAAAAGGGGGCAGAAAGCATGCTGACCGGACTGCTGCTTTTGCTGAGGCACATCCTCATGGAAGCAAGACAGTGGCACCAGAGGCTGTGTATCAAGACATGCCTCAAGCAGTGCACTGCAGAAGCAAGGCCCTGAAAGAGACTGAGTACTAGACCAGTCACTTGCTGATGTGTGCACCCATTCATCAGTGTGTGTCTATGTCAGAAAGCAAGCAGAAGAGGGCAGCATCAACAGCAGGGTGGCAAATTACTTACCTGCAAGCAGATACATTATGAATTTTAAAAAAACAAAAACATTTCCTATGCCTTGGCCCAAGTATCCATATGTCATGAATTTTAAACCCTTATTATATGATAATATTTGTGAAGTCACCAAATGGCTTGAAAACTGCACTAAGATTTCTGGAGCCTTACTAGATAATATTAACAATGTGTAAGCTTCTACTCAAAAGTAAGCCCCACTGAGTTCAATGGGACTTGCTCCCAGAAATGTGTGTATAAGATTGCAACCTAACAGCACAACATGTGTCCATTCAGAAGCCTTGTCCATTCAATTCAATGGACCTTGCTCCCAAGTAACTGGGTACAACTACCACATAAGCATAACTAGACAAAAAAAATGCAGTAATTTTATAAGTATCTATCATATTGGGTTGAGGGGGACAAGTACCACACTGATATCCTGCTGCCCAAGGATCCACAAAACCCTGGAGCCAGCCCTGCTCCTGCATTATTGCATCCCATGGAGAGAATGGGGCTCCAATCCCCTGTAAACCATCATGCTCATTAGGCCTGTCACTCACTTTTAATCCAACCTAGCTCACAGGGTTGTTGTGAGAATATAGGGACACACAAGCATGCCAAACTCAGCTCCTTGAGGGAAGAATTTGGTTATAAATGCCACAGATACTGACATTCAAAGACACAATTAAACACACAAGTTCTTCTTTTCCAGGCTTGCTACAGTCCAAAAGAAGCGCAGCAGGCGTCTAAAAACGGCGTTTCTTGTCTACTTAAATGAAGCCACTGCTGCAAGATGCATCATTTCCAGCCCCTCACGAAATGCACTGATTGCAAACACGCCCGCCTCCCCACTAGGGAGCACTCCCTTGGCTCTACGAACCCTGTCCTCTGGCGAGCGAGCTCCCGCCCCCACGCCGATGTGCTAGCCACACTGTACAAAAAGATACAGAAAAAAGCACGTCGCCCCTGCAAGTTGCAGCTCGGAACACGGAGGCGCAGCAAAGGGCCGTGCCTCTCCGTCACCAGATTTCTCCGGAGGAAGCGCGCAAGTGGCTCTCCGGAGCCAGCGGCGCGCGTGAGAGGCATGCCTCCCGTCCACGCTTTCGCGGGCGACGTGCACGAAGCAAGCCTCGGGCGCAGCCACCCCTCCTTCCCCCGCAGAGACGTGGACTTTGCTTGCGCTAACCTTCAGGGGCAGCATTGCATCCTGTAGGGAAGGGACCTGCAGGGCGGCGGCGTGCGATAGCCTCCCGCTCCCCCCCCCCACCGCCGAGCAGCAGCAGCAGCACGCTGCATGCCTGCACACGCCCCTCCCCTCTCTCCCGCCATTCCCGACTCCAGGCCGCCTCCCCTCCCCTCGCGTGGGACCAGGCCCGGGGCATTCGCTCCTCCGCCGAAGGGCCGTGGGTGGCCTGCGGGAGCGAGGGCCGCCAGAGCCAGCCCCGCAGGCCTCACGCCGCTCGCGAAGGAGACTCACCTGACGGGCCTAGACATCTCGGCGGTTTAAACGGAGGCCCTGAGGCGGGCACGGGTGCCTAAGGAGACGAAAGAACCGAGCCCGGTCGGCGCCGTTCTCGCTCGCCCTCCCGGGGGCCGTCAGTCCCCGGGTCCAGCGACTCAGGCCGCCGCCCCGCACCCCAGATCTGGCTCCTGTGCGCCGTCAATCGCCACCACTCGCCTCTCCCCCCTGCAAAATGGTCGCACTTCGTCCAGTAGAGGGGATGCGCCGAGCTGAGAGGGCGGTGCAACCTATTCGGCTGGCATCTCCTCCCTACGCTTCTCGTTGGCTGCCTCGCAGCGTCGCCGTGCCCCATTGGCCTGTTCGAACGATCACGGAAGCGCTGCCCCGCCTCCTTCCCTGCGAGCGGGAGGAGTGAAGGCGGTGGAGGGGAGCTCCTTGCTAAAGCTGATATGAGAGCGGACAGCCAACAACAGCCAGAAAAACCCGCCGGGGTTTCACAATGGCAGATTCGGCAGCAGCTTGCTTGGATTCCGACCCTATAATTCAACAGCCCAGTCCCCTTTCGTGCACGAGGGAATTCGCTTTCATTCGTATTTATTTTTCTTATGGGAAACAATAGGTTCCAAGCCAAACAGCAGATTCGATAAGAAAGGCTGGGCTACGTTTTTGGAGGGAAAGGAGAATCAGATTCAGCCCCTCCCTACGAATTTGTGACACTTATCGCGATACTTTCATAATTAATGGTTATGCTCCCGCGAGCCTTGCTTGGCCCTAGAATTGTCGGAGGGCCGGGATGATACGATGTGCTCCCCTTTCTCCCTCTTCTTCCCTTGTACTACTCTTCACTGCTGTTAGAGACGGTGCTTTGTGCATGCCTCGCTGCATTACACCATTCTCCCCTGGCTGATCATCCCTGTTGGCCAGAAATATAGTTGAAATTGAATAATAATTACAAGCAAAATGGAATCAGGTCTCAGCCCTAGAATATGCAGAGTGCATACTCAACATTGCCCATCTTCAAACCTCTAGAACAGGGGTAGGCAACCTAAGGTCTGGGGGCCGCATGCGGCCCAATCTGGCCTGCGGATGGTCCAGGAATCAGCCTGTTTTTACATGAGTAGAATGTGCTTTTATTTAAAATGCATCTCTGGGTTATTTGGGGGCATAGGAATTATTATTTTTTTGAAAATATAGTCCTGCCCACCACATGGCCTGAGGGACGGTGGACTGGCCCCCTGCTGAAAAAGGTTACTGACCCCTGCTCTAGAATGAAGCAGAGCTTCTTGATAATAAAAAGTAGCAACTCTCACTGAGCTCAACAGGGCTTGCACCCAGCTCAGAAGTGCTTAAGATTGCTTTGTTGTTTAGTCGTTTAGTCGTGTCCGACTCTTTGTGACCCCACAGGACCAGAGCACGCCACTGCCTCCCGCAGTTTGGTCAAACTCATGCTGGTAGCTTCGAGAACACTGTCCAACCATCTCGTCCTCTGTCATCCCCTTCTCCTTGTGCCCTCAATCTTTCCCAGCATCAGGGTCTTTTCCAGACAATCTTCTCTTCTCATGATGTGGCCAAAGCTTCAGAATCTGTCCTTCCAGTGAGCACTCAGGGCTGATTTCCTTTCATTGGAAACAGCAGAGGGTGACATCTAAACTGCTCTAGGCCCCCTGGACCATATACCAGTTCTACTGCTTTTGCCTTTGCAACCTTTATTGTTCTGTCCCAGTCTCCCACATATACATTAAGCAGCAGCAGGATACAGATTTCACTTTTAAAATATGTTGGGCATGCTGTGCAGCACAGCACCCGCTAAATATCAACTGTGCCCCCCTACCCCCTTCTTTTCTGTCACGCTGATGACACTGTGGGGAAATGAAGATGGTCGTCCTGTCAGCCTGTGCTTTGCCCACCATGTTTCAGCCACAGAAAAAGGCAGTGTGGGACAGGAGAGGAGTGGCTGAAGGGCAGAGCCTACCCCTGGATACATTTCATCAAGCTCCACTCACTGGTGTGGATAGCGAGCAGTGGAATAGCCATGAATTGCCATGAGTAAAAGCCACCACACTATGTGGAAGTGAGTCAACTATGTATACAGAGAAATCGAACCACAGCATACATATACAGCACATAGCTTCCCATGAAGAGTTCTGGGAAGTGTAGTTCACTCCTCACAAAGTTATAATTTCCAGAATGCTAAACAAATTATAGCTTCCAGGATTCTTTTCAGTTAAGGCAATGTGCTTGTTACTTACCGTGTGGCTGGATGAAACATTATTACTATACAGTGGTACCTTGGTTCTCAAACTTAATTTGTTTCAGAAATCCATTCCAAAACCAAGGCACGCTTTCCCATAGAAAGTAATGCAAAATGGATTAATCCATTCCAGACTTTTAAAAACAACCCCTAAAACAGTAATTTAACATGAATTTTACTATCTAACAAGACCATTGATCCATAAAATAAAAACAATAAACAATGTACTGCAGTCACACAATCAATCAGTCAGTAGCTGAACTGGATTCCACACAGTCACAAAAACGGAACAAAAAGAGCAGCAAAAAACCCTCTGCAAAATAGCAAAAACAGACAGACCTCAGCGTAATACTCAAAACAGAATCATAACACTTAAAACGGAGCACATTCAGCTTCTGAAAAAAGTTCACAAACCGGAGCTTCCGGGTTTGCAGTGTTTGGGTTCCAAGTTGTTTGAGTACCAAGCATTTGAGAACCAAGGTACCACTGTATCTAGTGAGATGGTGTAAAGCTGTTTAGTCAAATAATGCTACATTGGATGGTCACAACATGTTTTGACTGAAATCAGCTAGCCTAGAATCTAGGGTCTAGCAGAGGCATAGAATGGCTGAGGTTCACAACCCATCACCCGAATGCAATCCTACAGACCTAACTATCCAACTCCACCACCTCAGGTTACACACTGGTCTCCTACCCTACTCTGTCTTTTGCCGATTTAATTTCTGACTTTACTCTTGATCTGATGTAAGGTATCACTGATGGGAGCTCTTTTGCATGGCAGCCACTATCAACTCACAAAACAGGACACCTATTTAGTTCACATTCCAAACTTCAGAGGTATTTAAAGCATTTACACAGTGCTTTTTTCTAAAAAAAATGTTTAGGGGTACTCTCATTCCCTCTGAGACTCAGGAAACACCATGAGAGGAAATTAGGCCACCCTCAGGGGTAGCAACGGAAGTGACAATTCATCGTGCTAGAGAAGAAACTAAACAATTTTTTTAGCTTCTTCTCCCATTAGATTCACAAAATGTTTAGGGGTATGCGTACCCCTGTGTCTCCCCAGAAAAAAAGTGCTGCATTGATATATACAGCGTTTCAAAAGTGGTATACAAAAAGTGAAGTGAAACAGACTCAAAGATTAATACAGTATAATAGAATTCCCTGTGGGTGCTACTACAGTCGTCCCTTGGAAGTCAATCAACTTCCAAAATGTTTGGAAACCAAAGTGTGGCTTCTGACTGACTGCAGGAACCTCCTGCAGCCAATCAGAAGGCACGGAAGAAGCCCCATCGGATGTTTGGGTTCCAAAGAACGTTTGCAAACCGGAACAGTCACTGTTTCAAAATGTCCGAATACCAAGGCATTCGGGATCCAAGATACGACGGTATTGGTATATAAAGCCCTCAACAGCTTGAGACCAGTTCACTTGAAAGATTGCCTCAGCCCATATGTGCTACTTCAATCTGGGGAACCGGGGCTTTTACAATTGCTACATAATGTTCGTTCCATGTTTGCAACAAATCAGTTCTCCAGAGTGACAGCACTTACACCAGAGTATTATAGGCAGGTGCCTTCACTATATTGTTTTGGCGCCTGCTAAAAACTTTGTTTAGGCAAGCCTATCCAGACACGCAATTCTGACATGTATACTAACATGTAACTTTTTTTGGTATGTACAGTTTGAAAATTACTGATAATACTTAGATTTTGGAAAAAAAGTAGAGCAACTTGTTTTTAATGTCCGATTTCATCAGTACTGTATTTTTAATGTGTATTTCATATTCCTTTAATGTAAACAGCTTAGAGGTTTTGATGATTAAGCAGTATATGAATCCTGTTAAGCAAAATAAAATAAACGGCCAGGTAAACCCAGTCATGCTAAACATCCCAAAAAATCTGGGCAAATAAAAATCTCCACTGGGAATAAAACAGTTGACAGACTGTACCAGGCAAGCATCCTTGGGCAGCATGTTCCAAAGGCAGGACACCACAGACCATAAGCTACTAAAGTCAAAGTGTCTCAAGGGGGAAACTGTATTGGTAGCTCTCTGAAGTGTTCAGTGACATTAATACTGATTTAGAGCCAAGCATGACAGACAGTCTCATGTTGGCCAAGTACTTGTCCTCCTATGGCACCACAGTTGCCCTTCCTGCATCATTACCTCTGCATAGCAAATGCTCTCACCACAGCTCTAAGAGCCAAGGATGACTAAATTATAATTGCATTTGCAACATCTACACTACTTACTCATTCCTGTCAGGAGTATTTACAAGGCTATTGACCAAAGCATGATGGCAATTATTTAGGGATGCTAATAATCTGTGGAACACAGAAGAGTTCTCTTCCATAACTGGGGAGGTGCTCAAACACCCTAAAACGTGTGTACATGAGGTACCACATTATGCCACCCTGTTTACTCATAGTTTTCATCAGCTTATTATGAACACAATGCTGGAATGGATTCAATGGGAACCTAATAGCTATTGTTATTCTTAGTACCTTCTATTAATTGGTCAAATCTCTTGGTGAATCCAGCTCAGTTATTGGCAAGATTGTATCTGGTACCAGGCAGCACTACAGTAAAAGTGTGCACTGTCCAATTTTTTTTATCCAAGTTCCTAAGCTAAATTCAAGCACCTGACTGGAAGCACAAGGTTGAATAGCATGTAAGAGCCACTGCCACATTCAAAGATCCAGCAAGCTGATCAGGCGCCTGGGGTGTGCCCTGTGCCCAGGGACGGGGCCAGCCGCCCGTGGGGCGAGACGGGGCAGGACGCTCTGCGGGGCCTCCAAGAAGTCTGCCTGCCTCCTCCCACTCAGCTGCCCTACAGCTGAGGGGGAGGTGGCAGGCAGACCATTTGGGGTAGTGCAGAGCCTGCGGGCGCCCAAGCCACTGCATCACTCCCAGGAGAGACACGTGGCTTGGGTGCGCTGCAGGCCCTGTGGTGCCGCCCATTTTGCCACCCCCCTCAGTGGTAACACCTGGGGTGACCCGCCCCCACTGCCCCCCTTCCTCTGCCCCTGCAAAGACCCACCACTTACACTGGACACGATGGAAGGTCGGCAAAGAGTAATTGTGCTGATTTTCATTGCACCAGTTCCAGGCTGGCACAGCAGACAAGCACATCACTGGTAGCCGGACCAGCTGAAAATGCAGTGGATCTTTAGCTGGCTTAATGCCACACCCTCACTGCCTCCTTTTCCAAAATACTCTGTTCTGCAGGTGCAGATGACACACCTCCGGAGCATCCAAACCCCTTCCAGCAACCCAGCGGGATTGGGATTGCTCTGTCCATCTGCAGTCCTAAAGTCACACACTAGAGTGTAAGTTCCATTGAAGTCTTTTGATTAAAGAAGTCAAGGAACATACTGTAAATAAAGCAAAGAACAAAGCAACCCATGCCATACATTAATTTCACTGGATGCCTCCACATTCCGACTCCATGTTCTGTTCTCCCCTTAATGGGCACCACATACTCATTTCTTATTTCTGCATTTCTTTTGCCTTTTTACATCTCCTTTCTCAATACTCCTCTGCTGATATCTGGAAAACTTCCTACCCCTCCAGCTCATACATCATGACTACTATTCTGCCAGCAATATTAACTCCTATAATTCTTGATCAGCAACCACCAGTTTAACAAACTTTCGAATTCTCCAATGTGTTTCCATGATATTCAGGAAAGAAATCCTTACTACTGGAAGTGCATAGTGATTTATATGGTCTCTTAAAGGGCAATTTCAATTACCTGCTTTATTGCAAATTCATTGTTGCCATTATAGGACAACAGGCAACACTCAGTCCACAAAGGCCAGTGTTCTGTGCAGAGGCCAGTGTAATGAAGCCCAATTGTGTATATTGCTGATCCACAATCAAACAGTTGCAGTGGGAACAAAACAGACTTTGCTGAGGGTTATTTTGCTCCTTACACGCAAACTGTCTTGGTCTATTGATAAAAATTAACCTATGCACTTGTTCATGACCAAATGAAGGCCTCATAAATCACGGCGGTTCATCTTATTCTTATCAGATCATCAAGTGGCAAGTTGAACCATCGTCAAAATGCACACCACCCACATTCAGGGCAGAATGCCAGGACTGACCACTCACCTCTAGTGTGATCTGTGCCAACACAAAATCTGGATTCATACTGATGGAGCTTTTCACGACCAACATAAAGAAGTCAAAACAGATGCCATCATCAGCTACTTTCTTTATAGTACTGGAAGTGCAACTATTTCTGCAGTCTTTGGGGAAAAATCAGTGCACAGATAAAATGTTCAAAGGCAGTATTTCACTAAATAGTTGCACTAGTGCAAGGATTAGCACTAGCAGAATGGGATCCCCGCCCTGCTGTCCCCAGATCTGCTCTGGGAGCTTGGTAGAGCCCCCAGAACAGATTCAGGGGGTGAATGGGGTGAGGAGAGGGGGAGATCATTCCATTGCACAAGCAGAAATCCTTGTAGTGACAGAACATTTTGCTTAGTTGAATAGTACAATGTCCATGACTAAACTTAATGCCCAACTGTGAGTAGCTCTCCCACCTAAATCTCCTCCAAAGTTGTGCAGTATATTTGGGGAAAACAGGAAGCAATTCACCTGCTATTTTAACCAACATTATAGAAAGCCCCTTACTTTACCTATACAGTAGCTGCTAGCTGCCATACCTCCTTCCCAAATTCTTCCACAACCACAAAGCTTTAAAAAGCAGCCAGTCCAAAAGACCTGATGATTTAACCAGACAGGTTCCACAGTCCTTCAAAATTCATCATTTGGAAATATTTGGAACTGGAAATTTACGAGTTCTAGCAACTTAAAAGGTAAAGGTAAAGGTAACCCTGCCCGTACGGGCCAGTCTTGACAGACTCTAGGGTTGTGCGCCCATCTCACTCAAGAGGCCGGGGGCCAGCGCTGTCCGGAGACACTTCCGGGTCACGTGGCCAGCGTGACATCGCTGCTCTGGCGAGCCAGAGCCACACACGGAAACGCCGTTTACCTTCCCGCTAGTAAGCGGTCCCTATTTATCTAATTGCACCCGAGAGTGCTTTCGAACTGCTAGGTTGGCAGGCGCTGGGACCGAACAACGGGAGCGCACCCCACCGCGGGGATTCGAACCACCGACCTTTCGATCGGCAAGTCCTAGGCACTGAGGCTTTTACCCACAGCGCCACCCGCGTCCTTTCTAGCAACTTATGTCACCACAAAAAGCTTGAGACACAAAATGGATAAAAGCAGGGACCTGGATTCACCTCTAGTCAATCCCAATAAGCAAAGAAGTCTGGATGACAGACCCAGTTCCATCCCACAACTGCATAAACTGAGAAACCAGTAGATGTGAACAAGCAAAGTCAGGCTGATTTCAGATTTATTTGTAGTTTTTCCAACACTGCATTGGTTATTGAACAGCACAACTAAAACCTCATTTGTCCTTTTGACATAAGAACAAATACTGTTAAACATACAAAACAATGCAATTCAAATGTGTATTTAAAAATATGTGAGATTCTGAGAAAAACACCAGCTGTTTGAGGTGAGTTTTCAATGACCATTGTTCAAATTAATGGAAGGTGGTCCATACACTTTCCCCGTGAATGCTCCACACAGTTGTAACATTTCAATTTCCCTGGGGCAGGGAAGAATGGCACTTTCGTTGTGCATACATGATGCAGTGTAACATCCAAACAAGTAAATGTGACATAGTCACGTAGGTAAGGAAGGCACAAGTAAGAGCATATAATTTTCTCATTAAAAAAACCCTTTTATTTATACTCTTGTTTTTAGGGAATTGTTCAGTTTATGCTAAAGTGCTTTTATATTGCATGATAACTTTAATAACTTTTTCATGAAGTAGGTTAAAAATATTTAGCACCAACTAAAATATTGGGGGGAGGGTAAAAACTACTGTGCTAAAATAGTGCTGACTGGTAAAGGGGTGATTAAAAACATTTCTATTTTTGCTAAAATGCATTTTCTTTTATGCATCCTTGTGCAAATATGTGTTTTTAAAATGGTTTTAGCAAACTATGAGATTAAAAATACGCTGTTAGAATGGCAGAAACTGGAAATGTAGCAGCACTGAGGTTGAGATGCATGGCGATAGGCTCACTCAGCAGATACAACTCTGTACATTTCAAAACCATGCATTTTAAAAAGAAATGGAAAAGTAACACGAAGAAGACTTAAACCCACCGACACTGGGCTTTCAAAAACAAACCAACCCCAAAGGTGGCTTTTCAGCAGCCTGAGAACATCAGTTTGAGGTCATATAAATGTCCTGGAAAAATGTGAGCCAACAAAACATGGATTAAGTCTCTCATGTGGACATGCCCCCAGATATCAAACCGTATTACTAAGGCACTGCTTGGTGCAAACCAGTGGGGATCGGAATCTTAATTCAGCACATCTAGTCTCTACAGTACCCATGCTTAATTGAGTGTGATTTTGTACTGTCTGGGGAAGTGGCAGGAATTGTGCACTACACATAGGCAATACTGCTACAAAGCAGAATAAGGATTTAATTATACGAAATCGTACATCATACTTTAATTTCGGGGAGGGGTAGAGGAATTTCTTCTGGCCTATAGGTAGCCCTAGAATACCATCTGGATGAAGACAACCATTTATAGAATCTCACGGCTTGCAATCAAAGAACTGCAATCTGATGGAGAGAGGGAGGGGACTGAGCCATAAATAAAGCACAATGAATTTACAAACCCGAAAACAGTTTCGTGAGCAACCTTGCTTAAGGCTAGCAAGACAGCTTTTTTTGCTAAGTGGAGGTTTAGGAATCTCCGAGAAGAAATGCATCCCCCCTCCCCTAAAAGGAAACAGCAGCTCCCATTTGAGCCTCTCTCTAGCAAATTGCTTTCAGTTTACTTCCAACCAGAAAAAAAATTGGCATAAAAGTTTTAGATCAGAAGCAATCAGTATAGCATGAGTTGTAAAAAACAAAACATACCACTCAGTTTTTATTTTAAAAGCTTACATAAAATAAGCACTTCAAGCGAGGTAACATGTCCATTATGTCTTGGCAGAAAGAGTTTTGCACAGAACTTAGGACCAACACATGCAGGATTTAAACGCTGAGACATTTCTTGTTTTGCAAAGCACTCTTTCAAATGTGAAAGTTCTAGTGTTTTGATCATATACCTTGCATTCCAGTTGGTCCTCTAAAGACAGCCCTTTAGAAAGTCAGCTGTTTCCCTAGCTACCTTTATATGTTTGCAAGTCAAGAATATACAGTAGTAGCTCCATGAGATAGTGGCTTGAGAGATTTTAAATTTTCTCATCAGCTATTCAAAAGGCACAAAAATAGAACTGGATGTGGAAAAGATAATGTGCATATATTCTCAAGTGTCTACCTATGCAATGCTATACATGGGTTCACACAGATGGGGGGGGGTCCTACAACTCCACCCAACCTAGTGCTCTATGCCCATCATCCTTGACCATTGGCCATGAAAGCTGGGGCTGATGGAGTCCAACCGTGGTTGGAGGGCAGGCTTATTGACTGCAACTGCCTCCCAGTACCATAGCACATCAACCGTTGTTGCATAGATCTCTCCAGATATATTAACTTAGACAATCAAACAGCAGTTGTAAATCAGTGCACAAGTACATTCGGCAAAGGGAGATATATGAAAACTTTCTCCTATAGATCACAGCTGTCAGTGATGGTTGCTTGAAACAGCTCATGTCCAATGGATCTGTGTGCCAATAACCCAGCAGTAATTTCTGCTAGGCAGCTGTCAAATTCTGCATTATATACTGCTTTTCAAAAATGGTACAAAGTGGAAGGGCTAGTGATGTAGTTCAGGTGTATGACTGTATCATATAGACTTTCACCATCATGTGGAAAAGGAACCATTTCTAGAAAGCCCTTAGGTTCTTCTCCTGCCACTTACTTAATTAGTGCAGGCAGAAGTTTTAAAGACCTCAAATCTTTGTAATTTGCACTTCCAATCGCACGGTAGCAATCTGAGGCTAGTTTTGTTGTGCTTCCATTTCAAAGAGTTCAATGAGATATTTGAATATACTGAAACACAACCAAGTTATCTAACATTGTTTTTCTATAGATCCCTCTTCAATAACATGGTGCTGTCCAGATGTTTTGGACTACAAGTCCCATCAATTCCATTTGTTGGGAATTGTAGTCCAAATCTTCTGGAGAGACCATGTTAGTGGTCTATAGAGTATCCCCTTTAAAAGCATTTAGCTTGAATTTCCTCTGTGGTTAGTACTTCTACCTGCAGTTTTCAGAAACAGTGCAAAGAAACTTGCCGATGTCCTTCACTATCATTTAAAAAAATTAAAAATTAAGTTATTACCATCTTGAACGATATCTAGAGAGATTCCAGTTCCCCATCCACTGCTTGTTATCTTTTTTAGCAGCAACTGTTTAATAATCTTTATTTACAAAATACATAACTTGTAATACCCTATAACAAGAATGAGTCCAATGGATAAATAATGTGCCGTCTTGTCTACATAACTGAGAAAATGGTCTGAATATATATTTTACATCTTATCCAGAAGTTGTGCCCATTACAGTATTCGGACAGACAGTTTGAAAGAACTGTAATGTTATCAGGCAAAGATTCAAACACTGCAAGGCTTTAATAGATCTTTCTTTTTTGGCCTGAATAGATTTGCTTATTCCAATCATCCAGGAAATTTCAGAGTTTGGTTGAATATGGACACATTATTCATCCACGGAATCTTTTACCCATTACACATGCATCTCCTCGGCTGTTTAATTTTTAAAAAACAGATTAAGAAATTTAAGCACCCTAATACAACTCACCAGTTTGAAAAGTTAACCTTCCTGAATTATGAATTTTTAAAAACTGGTAAATTACAATTTTGTATTTTCTGCAAAAACAAAGTCTATCCCCTCTATATTAAAAGGGCAGGAAATGACTGGTAGCAAAAAGGTACAGGAGAGATTTAATTCTTGCCTTCTGTCCTGCTGTGTTCCCTATTCTGCGTTTACCCCCTCGGTTCACTAAACCCATCGACGTGCTTTCAAGATAGCATTGCATGATGGCTATCTACAGCCACATATTACAGCCTCTGAGAGGAAGTAATTTATCAGAATATGAAAGAGGCAAATGAGATCCTACCAGGGAAAGGGCTATAAAAACATAAAAACATTGCTACTGCTCTAATAAGGTGCATCAATGCAAAGCAGTTTACAGCTTTTACCTCAATTCATTGCTGGGCTCACTAATGAAATGGTCACAGGAAAAGGACCTGACAATTGTATCTCCCACATAAAAGAAGGGACAAAAAAGGCCAGAGTCCCTTGTGTTTTTTTCCTTCAGCTTAAATGCAGCCATTCTCAGAAAACACACACACAAAAGCAGCAATAGGCTTATCCTGGCAAATATGGCACCTCAAGAAGGGCCGTGGTGAGAGAGAGTTGTGCAGCTGTGTCACAAGGGGGGGGGGGAAGAATCACAGCATGTTTCCACAGAGGATACATTAAAGGCAGTCTGCTTCAAAGTGCAAGATTTAGCACGTACGCTGGTTAGACACAGCCAGGTTACCCAGGGCTTTGCTTTCAGAGCTCCTTGTGGCCATTCTTCCTGCTGCGTAATCTTCAATCAACTGTGGTGGAGACTTTCCCACAAGTACAGCAGCGAGCAGAACAATCTCCTCCAAGTTAGCCCAACTTGCAATGAGGAATATAGAATGGCAGAAGTGTACCCCAGTGGCCCATAAGCAGGCAAGACTGTGGCTTCCATCAACCTTGCTGGGATGCCTTGGTCTTCTATTGCTGCTTACAGCAATGCCATGAGGCAGTTCAGTACTACTTCTTAAGAAAAGACAGTATTAAGTTTCAAAGGCGCTCTCGACCTCTGATCAGATGCAGAAGCCTAGGGAGGTGCAACTAGCAGCACCCCCAATTGGGCACGGCGGCAGCTTGATGTAGATTGATGTAGTCTCCACGGCCTGAAAGAGTAATGTCCGTGTCACCTGACGACGTCAACAACATCATCATCATCTTCTCAATAAGGACTCTAGGAAGAAGCAGGATTAGGTTAGAAAGAAAGAAAGAACAGACAGGACACATTCCCCAGCATTCCAGGAACCAAATCACAGGGGAGGACTCTCTGCTGGGGACCCCTTCTGTTCAAACCCAACACAATGTGACTGTGGGGTTCTGCATTTACCTCTGAGAAAACATGACCTTGTTGACAGACATTGTTTGCAATGAAGTTGTTTCTCTAGCAAGAGGTGGGCTTGCTGAGGAATGAACACCATCATGGACCCAAAACAACTTCCGCTTTTAAAAAATAAGCAAGGCTGTGGTGCCTTATCTACAGAGGGTACAAGCTTGTTCCATCTACTGACCTAATCACCTGAGACCAAATCTCTATAGCGCATTGCATCCCAGACCCTGGCCTACAAGCCAAAATGGTAGCCGCATCACTGCAAATCACTTAAATACCTGTGGCGCTGCCCGTCTCACTCCAAACCTAGCTGCAACACTGCATCATAATGAAAGCATGACTGAATATTTTGGAACTGAGTGAAGTTGGAATTCTCTTTTTAAAGACCTCACCTCTTTTGTCATATGTTATCCATAGGCCCGTACTTAGGGGATAATTACCTCTGGAAAAAACATTCAAAAATTCAATTTGCCTACCTCATTGACTCATTTACATTCTTGTTTTCCTTGACAGAGGTTTCAACCCATCCGGTAAAGCCATTCTCCTTACTGAACCGATCAATTTCTTCTCTGGTCACAGCCCATGGATAAAGGTCACACTGGAAAAGAGAATTTAGGAACAGTCAGGAAGAGGTGTACAATTCATTTTCTGCCTCTGCCACAAATCTGCACACAGCCAGATCTACCCAGCAGATTATAAGGCAATGCTATAACTATTTGTGCTGCCACAGTTTGAATTAGTAGGGTAAAATGATGAAAAATCTATGCCTCTTCTGCCACTGAAAAATTTCTTATTACTGTTCAAAACCAACTCCTCAAATTCAGAACAGAGCTTGATAAATGTGCAGATATTTTATATCCTAAGCAGATGTTTCAAATATGTTGTTTTCAGGATCATGAAAGATGCCCACTTGGGAATTTCCTCACTTCCTCAGTGATATCAGGGACACTTTTAGATGGGGAGGGGGGGGTGAAAGAAAGTAGGGGGAGAAAGGGATCTTTCTCCTGCACACTTTTAGCTCTGCAGCCCTCAAGACCTTCCCCACCCTCCCTTTTAAAAACTGGGGAGATGGAACTGGGTCAGAGGCCAGTGAGGGTACACATTCTCCAAGCTCTGTTCCATGCCCCCTTCTTTTTAGGCCCCAACCCTAATTCTCAGCTGCTGCCAGTGTTCACTGATAGCATGAGGACAGCACACATGCACGGCTCTTATCTCCCAGCGCTTTAGGGGAGTTTCAGAGAGCTTATCGCCTTTTTAAAAGAAAGAAAAACAGCTGGAAACACTCAAGTCTACGGCCACTCACTTTATTAGCCAGCAGCAGACAAGGAACGGGGCTTCCATCCGGCAGCTTCAGTTTGCTGTCCAAATCATACTTCCATTTCTGGCAGCTGGTGAACGTGCCAATACTGGTGACATCAAACATGATCACACAGGCCGATGCCTCTTTGTAATACAGCCGAGTCATAGACGTGAAACGTTCCTGACCTGGGGAGGGTTGAGGTGACGAAGGAGTTTTAGCATTACCTCAGATTCATTCCTAGGCAGCTTCCCCCTCCACATTTGCTTGATCCAACATCAAGGGAGTTGTATCTACTTTACTGCCTTCTGGCAAGGACAATGGAAAGCTTGACAAAGTGGGATGACTGGTTCACAGGGTGGTCAAACCGTGGTCCTACAGATGTGGCTGAACTACAGCCTCCATTATTCCCAACCATAGGCCATGCTGGCTGAGGCTGATGAGACTTGTAATCCAACAACCTCTGGAGGGTCACAGGCTACCTACCCCACCCTAAAGATTTAAGGCCCCAATAGATAGGAAGATGAAGCAGTGCCGGATTTATGTATAAGCTAAACAAGCTATAGCTTAGGGCCCCACTCTCTCGGGGGCCCCCAAAAAATGTAAAGGGAAAAAACTGGATGTGCATTTCTAAAATATAAGATAAAAAACAAATAAAATAAAACCTACATACAGCAACAGTGTTGTGTGTTGTGTAGGCTCCTATTGGTTACATGCAAATGGCTTTAGATACCTATTAGGTCCATAAATTACCATATAGCATATATTCAACATAAAAAACAGCGACAATTTGTTGTTGACAAAGGACAGCTGGACATATAAAGGGCCCCATTACTTTCAGTAGCTTAGGGCCTCATCAAACCTAAATCCGGCCCTGAGATGAAGGGGACCAAAAGAAACCTGCAAGAACTACCAGGATTCCCCGATGATTCCCTACATCCAAGTTAATCCACAGTGTGGAGTTCACCAATTTCTGTACTGCACCAAAGAAGAAATGTTGTTGTTTTGACTTTTCTGCTTCAGAAAGTCGCTTGTGTCCCCCCCCCCCCATTGAAGCTGCCTGTGTCAAACTCACTCTTTTGAGGGAGAGGGGAAACTGCCTCAAGAATATTTTTTTTATATCCGTTATCCCTACTGAGAAATCACTGGTTGGTAAAGTAACAAACCCTACACATTGCTGAGCTTTGCTTCCTAATTTTATGGCAGCTGCTTCGATTGCTGAAGAGGCAAGCCACTTTTTAAATGGGCTGTCTCTTTGGCAGTAGAATGACAAAGCAAACAAATACACATGCCTCTTAGTCACCGTTAATTGCAATATCCATCCATCAGCACCATTTTCAAGGCGTTCCCCCCAAATTGCCATTTCCAGACTTACACAGGAAATTGCACAAACTGCATCGCTAAAGAGGTGAAACACAACAACACATGGATGAAAATTAGACTGCTACTGTGTGGGGGAATTTTCTATCACTTTGGAACTATCTTTGATCGATAGAAAAAGACAAACAAATCTGGGGGAGGGGGACTCTTATCCACCACAAACCAACAAGTGACTCTTCAAAGCTTACCTGCAATATCCCACAGCTGCAGCCTCACTGTCTCAGACTCTGACCACTGTACCACCTTCAGAGCAAAATCCACTGGACAACCATGGAAAGAAAGAAAAAGATAAAATCAGTTAGGGGTTGGATAAAATCACTGTGTAGTATGCTCCGCTTATGAGTACTTGTGCTTCAGGCCTGAGGGGCCTTAAAAGAGGATTAAACAAATGCATGGAGGGTAAGGTTCTCATGATGGCTAAGCTCTGCCTCCATGATTGGAAGAAGTAATGAATCTGAATACTAGTTGCTGGAAACACCAGGAGCGCGGCGTTCTCTTGTGCTTGGGTCCTGGTTGCAGGTTTCCCACAGGGATCTGGTAGGTCAGTGTGAGAACAGGATGCTGGAATACATGGACTAGATCAGGCATAGGCAAACTCCGGCCCTCCAGATGTTAGGGACTACAATTCCCATCATCCCTAGCTAACAGGACCAGTGGTCAGGGATGATGGGAATTGTAGTCCCAAACATCTGGAGGGCTGGAGTTTGCCTATGCCTGGACTAGATCCAACAGTCTATTTTTATGTTCTTATAACGGATATTAAGACACTACAGACTTGAATTAGGCTGCTGTGCAACACAGCAATTGCTTCTACACTGCTGTCTTGATGCTATTCATGTTCTTCCTTCCAGCAGATGTTAAGCCCAAGCTATAGCATTTCTTGAGTACTGCTGACCTCAAAGCGTATGTTTATGCTCCAGTAAATCACAGAGAAGTGGTGGAAACAGACAACCATGTAGATGTCACTTTAAAATCCCACCCCATTCCCCCATACAGCTTTAACCACACGGAGAGAAGTCTACAACCATGTGACAAGCCAACCGCTTCTCCAGATTCCTGTGGCCATCTGTTGCTATCCCTGACAACTCTGAAACAGAAGTGTGTGCACACATTATGTGCATGCTCACACAAGTAATACATCCCAAATCCTGGATGATTGCTTCTATGTTCATGGATCCAGAATTATTTCCACCGGAATTATGATAACAGCAAGTATAAGTATATAATAATTTCCCCTTGAGATAGAAGTCTTACATATTTCTCAGTAAGTCTTTTTTTTTAAACTCCCATTAGTTGATATGTGCAGCACCACCCTGTTCCTGTGAAATGTTTTAACTGCTTTTAATTTTGAATTTTTAATGGTTACAGCCCACCCCCGGAACCCGTTAGTGAAGGGTGGGAATAAATTTAATAATAATCATTTATAGATTGATTGCATATTTATGTCCTACCTTTTCTCCAAGGAGCTCAAAGTGGTATACATAGTCCTCCCCCTCATTTAATCCCCACAACAACCCCGTGAGGCAGGTTAGGCTGAGAGTGATTGACCCGCCCAAGGTCTCCCAGTGAGCTTCATGGCTGAGTGTGGATTTGAACCCTGCTCTCCCAGGTCCAAGTCCAGCACTCTAACCACTACACCACACTGGTTGGTTCTCAATCACTCTGGATCTTCATCATTATCATGGTACAGTACAGTCTTGGGCAGACATGTCAGGCAAAAATAAATAATAATAGTAATTTATTATTTATACCCCACCCATCTGCTGGGTTTCCCCAGCCACTCTGGGTGGCTTCCAACAAAACAATAAATACAATAACTCATCAGATATTAAAAGCTTCCCTAAGGTAAGGCAAAGAGGAGGTAGATAGCTGAGAACTCTCTCCTCTTCAGGTACTTTTCCCAACCAACAAGATCAGGTTTATCTTGCCTGGGCCAGATCGGTCCCGCAGAGATCCCTCTGTGCGTGTCTGCGATTTTCGGCACCGCGGAAGCAAGTCGCTGCACTGTGCTGGTTTAGCGCAGCGCGTGAGCAAGCACCTTGGTTGGGGAGCAGCTCATGGGCCAGTCAAACGACCTCCACGGGCTGCTTCTGGCCCATGGGCCTTAGGTTAGTGACCCCTGAGCAAGATGCTCTACCAAGCAGCTCTCCCACCTGGTAGTGGTGCTTCTGAATGGCAGAGGGTCCACTGCAAATCAGCAACCATTCACAGTTTAGGAACTTAGGACGATGCCTTATATTGAGTCAGACCATTGGGTCCTTTTAGCTCATTTGTCTACACTGACTGCCAGAGGCTCTCGGACAGGAAATATTTCCAAGCCCCATCTGGAGATGCTGGGATACTTTTGCATGCAACACAGATGCTCTATCATTGAGCTACAACACTTCCTTAAATTTAATTGTGGATGAGGGAGTGAAACCGGTAGGTATTACTCAGACCTGGGGGGGGATGAACAAGGGGAGAACTGATGTGACCCAGCATCAACATAAGCTTGTAACTGATGCTTGGCCAGAGAGACAAAACAAGAAACCCTCTGGTGTACTGCTAACTTCGGATCCTCTCTGCAGAAACTGGTGGTGTCGGAGAAGCCAAGGATGGCTGTTTCAAAGGACTCAATATTCATGGCTGCCATGATATCCGTGGAGCTATTTCAAAACAATACTGACCCACCTTTATGTAAAAGTTTCAAGATATTTTTTTTGGGGGGGGGGGAACATCATTGACCCAAGACATATGGCAGGGCATATGTTAAATCTGTGGGTGTGAGTTGTAATAACCCTATTTCCCTGTGACCTTTGGGTTGATGGTAGAAGTCCTTCCCTGAAGGGTTGGAGGACTTGAAAAGCTTTTCCACCCAAGAGACTAATTAAATTGAAGGGATTCCTGAATTTCCCCAATAAATTGTCCATTTGTCAGGTCTGTCCATCCTGCCAAGGCCTCAGTCTCACTGTGGCAACGACAAGATGGAGACAGCTGTCAAAACAATCAACCTCTTCAGCTCAGTGGAACTCAAAAAGGGCTCTTGGGTTTGCTGGAGATAGTTATGAGAAAACTTCATCTGCTGACTTTCTGCCTGTCAATATTATCACTGCATATGCCCTTCCCTGATTTATTTTGAGTCCACCATCTCACCCATTTACAAGAAGAAACGGTTTAAGCTGTTGAATTTCTGCCCGCTTGTGCTGTTAAAGGCACAAGACCCCTGTTCTTCCCCCCAAAGCCAAGTCTAAACCTTTCAAAGAACTTAGGTTTCACGAGTCATAACCCAGATATGTTACTGGTCATCAATGGACCACTGCTTAGAAATGCAAATAACTGTGAAGTATAAAAAATGTCTTAAATACAAATATATTTTAGGCTGGCAATTCTACATTCAGTGCAAGCCCAGGCATGGTATTTCAGATGGCTGTGTGTGTGTATGAAGGGATTTGATGTTAATAAGTACAGCAATGTTATTAGCACTAATCAAACAGTCACCCAAATACACCCATTTAAGTGTTTATACCAGAAGCAACATTTTCCCCTTTGAGCAGGAGAGCAATTAATCACCAGTGCCCCACCACAGCTACTACAGTCTTAACATTCCATACACACACACATACAGTATTTCTGCAAAATGCCTACTATGCTGCAGGGTACACTACTCTGATTGCATTCACACAGCACTTTATTCCAGTTTCCCAGTATTTCCCTAACTGTCAATTTTTGCATTACATCTTCCAGAAACTTCCAGAAATTCACCAAAATATAGAATAGAGCTGGCTCTGCTTTCGTTTCCATGTTATTTGCAAACAGATTTTTTCTGGAAGCAAATAACACTGAAATGACGCCTACATTTGTGCTATACTCCACTATATTTCTGAAAGTGGCTTTTACGTTGTGCGAAAATTCAAATATAATGCGGAAAGTAACAGGTAGGGCGATGTCGGGAAACCAGAATAAACTGCTGTGTGAATGCAGCCTCTGTCTCAACCCCTTCTCCCCAATGTTAGCATATTGCAAGACTGATGCAACCCATACTTTCTCAACCACAATACTACCTTCTCCTCCCCACCAAAGGACCAGGGATATAGTAATGATGGATTCTATTTGCATTAGCATGGTAATTTAATATGTTTACATTTCCGGGGGGGGGGCACATCATTTTTTGCATGAAATTAAGCGCGGGTGGTGCTGTGGTCTAAATCACAGAGCCTAGGGCTTGCCAATCAGAAGGTCGGTGGTTCAAATCCCCACAACGGGGTGAGCTCCCGTTTCTCGGTCCCTGCTCCATGCCAACCTAGCAGTTCGAAAACATGTCAAAGTGCAAGTAGATAAATAGGTACCGCTCCAGTGGGAAGGTAAACGGCATTTCCGTGTGCTGCTCTGGTTCGCTAGAAGCGGCTTAGTCATGCTGGCCACATGACCTGGAAAAACTGTCTGCGGACAAACGCCGGCTCCTCGACCTTTAAAGTGAGATGAGCTCCGCAACCCCCGAGTCAGTCACGACTGGACCTAATGGTCAGGGGTACCTTTACCTTTTAAGCCTGAGTTAGAATTAAGTGTTGTCTTTGCTGCGACCTTTTGCTGTTGGGTGGTCATGCTCCTACACAGTCACAGTTACACTGAAATCCTACAACTCCAAAAGTTAAAGCCTTTGCTCACAAGGGAGTTGCTCTAGCCCCCTGATCATTTTGGCTGTTCTTTTCTGCACATTTTCTATTCAATACAAAATCCAGATGTGTCTAGACCTGTACACATGCTACGCCTGAAGAGAGTAGGAGGAACTGTTGTTCTCCTTGGTGGTTGTCACTTATTACAGCCAATAGGTGCCCTCAACACTTGTGCAATCACAATCTACACTGCACTTGCAAAACAAAGATAGCACTGTCTAGTGCTTTTTTTCCCCCCTTAAAAAAATGTTTAGGGGTATTCTCATTTTCCTACTCATATTGAAATACTGCCCCTCAATGAGGCTGAACTTAGATTCACAAAATGTTTAGGGGTATGTGTACCCCTGCATATCCCCAGAAAAAAGCACTGGCACTGCCTAGAAATCACAACACATTTTTGTTGGCTCAGTACACCATGCCTTGACTGCCAAGAACATACAATATCCCATAATGGAAACCCAACCCCAGGCAAAGAATGTGTGGCCTGCATGCTTCAATTAAGCAAGAAAGGGCATTTAGTTTGCAAGAGAAAAAAATAAGTCAGGTGAGCACTCTTGTGACAAGTCAATAGTATGTTCTCAGGATGAGCTGCAAGTTCATTAATATCT